CTGCAATTTCCTTAGATAGAGAATTAAGAATCCAGGAAGTAACCATATCATCACACCTTTCCCATTGATGAAACTGTGGTGTTCCTGGATCGAGCCTCTTACAATCACCATTGATGAAACCCAGCTTGTTCTTAACTGACAAAACTCTAAGAACACTGCGTCTCCACGATCTATAACCTACTCCATCAAAAGGAGTTTGAACCAACGACGCACCTGGATTATCCAAAGGATGCATATACAGTGGAGAACCGAGATCATTACTGTTAACACCATTATTACTCACAGAATTCTCACCACTCACAATCACCATAGTAAACTTAGATCAAAGAAATACACAAAGTACAATTTGATCCAGTGATGAAACACAACACAAATGAATTGAAACGAAACAGATCTAGAACTTAATCTAGCTAACAATTCTGAGACGCATATTAAGGAAGCAATACGGAAGCATAATGAGATCAAAAAAAAAGCACAAAGGCAAAGATGAATCGGGATACCTCGTGCTCTGATACCATGTCAAAATTAGCTCATAACCATGGTTGATTATCCATGAATGCAGTAAAGAGAAATCAGGGAAAAAGATAGTATGGAGAGAATCAACCAATTGATTTTCATTATAAGGAGACAATGTATTTATACAAAAAAGGAATCAAAATATCTAACTAACTAATGAGCTGTCAATTCCAACAATAACAGAATTCAGCTAACTCACTATTCTAACTAATTAATTGAATATACTAACTGACTAATTAGACTAGTAACATAATTAGCTAAATCATAACAGTTTTAACAAATTATAAAAAGGTTCAAAATGTCTTTCTTTCAATTATTGGATTAGATTTGCCTTTTTTCTATTTATTTAATTCAATAATGCTCTTTTTCCACTCATTTGGATCAAATATAACACTATTTTCGAACTCAAACTTGTCCTTCCATTGACTGTACAGTTATAAGAAATTTAATCAAACACGTGGTCTTTTTATTTTTTACACCTCCCATTTTCAATAAAATCTACATTCATTATGCAATTAACAACTCCCACATACATATCATAAAAACTAAGTGTCGAATTGAACTCTTAATCTCTTCAAATTATTTTTGACATTCTTTTTGAAAACATAGTGGGTGAGATTGGTATGAATAAATATGTTCTAGAAAATATTTTTCAATTTTTTCATGTTTGGTTGGCTTGAATGCTATTTAAATCATCTTATTTTCCTCAAATTTAAGGAATATGACTTTCCTTCAAAAATTAAGGAATATATTTTTCAAAACTCTCTTCCAACCTCAAATATAAAATAATTCTTACCCGACCCCGACCCCCTACATTAAAAAAATTAAATTTTAGAAGTTTCCTTTTAAAAAAAAAAATCAATTTGTTTTGTCCCTAACCCCCACCCCACCCCCGAGTCCCCTACCCCCAAACCAGCTCATCCCCCCAACCAAAAAAAATTAACAACTTAAAATTTTATTTTCGAAAAAAAAAGTGAAATTTTAAATTTTTTGATTTTTTTCACCCCGCCAAACCCTGACTACCCCTACCTCCACTTCCCACAAAAAAAATAATTGAAAGTTTGTTTTTGAAAAAAAATTAAATTTTCATTTTCTTTAAGCCACACCTACTGCAACCCCTACCAGTTCCTCCCCCTCCCCCCACGCCACCCAATCCACCCAAAAAAATTTAAAAGTTTATTTTTTAAAAAAATATTTTTAATTATAATTTTTACCATACTTTCAAATTTTAATTTTTTTACGCCACCCTACCCCGACCCCACTACCACCTCCACCCCTCACCCCCCACCCCAAAAAAAATTAAAAGTTTGTTTTTTTGTCAAATTCAAATTTTAAGTTTTTTGTTTTACTCCCCTCCCCCCCCCCCCCCCCCACATAAAAGAAATTTTATTTTTTTATTTTTTTTTTAAAGAAAATAACTCTCAGTTTGAAAGTTAGGTATCGAATCGGGTGTGGTTGTATCCTGATTCGAAAATAAGGGCTGAAATTTAAATTTGAATTTCAAGTCTTCAATCTCGCATCGATTGTTGGTTGTCAGTATCGGATCCTAATTTGAAAGTCAAGTCTCGATTCGAGTGTCAAAGTCGAAATCCAGATTGATGGATCGTGTTCAAGTTGGATGTCGAAGTCAGGTCTTGTGTCTGATATTCGGTCTCAATTCGAATGTCTCGGGTCGAGAGACGGATCATGTCCTGGGTCAGATCTCAAGGTCGAATTTCAAAACTGTCGTCAGGGTTGTGTCCTAGTTCGCATGTCGGGGTCATGTCCTACATCGATAATCGAGGTTGATTTTCGGGTCAAAAATTATTTTCTACACTCTAATAAAAGAAATTAGATATTTTCTTTAAAATATTTATCATTCACAAACCAAACACTAAAAAGTATTTTTCGGAAAATATTTTCTACTAAATTGAAGGGTTTGATTTTTCCAATAGGTTATGACTTTTTCAAAGAGTTGTGACAATTTTGAAGGATTTTGTCTTTTACATATCGATCAAACTTTACAACATTTCAGAGATATGATTCATACAACAATATTTCAACTCCCAATAAAATATATTAATAGGTACAAGTACCTTATCAAGTTGCGGCGGCATTTATTCGCTCATTGTTGTCTCTTCCTCAATTCAGATTCCATCAAGAATGCTTAAAAAGTTTTCATAACATAAAACACAAAATTAATTCAATACAAATTCATCAAAAATAAAATTTTACAAATCATTGAATAAAACAGTAACATAAGTTGTCAGACAAAGTGATGAAAGAAGGGGAAAACCCACAAAAAGTAGGTACGAACCAAAAAATTGTCATGGTTGTGATAATTTATTTGAGAATTGACCGGTTGAAACGATTTCTCTTTTGACATGTTGAATAGAGGAAAAACCTACAAGGAAATTATAAAAGAATTTCATTATTTTTTTTGTGAAGATCCAAAGTAGACCTCCAAGGAATTGGCGAGGTTCCATAAAAATAGGGATGAAATTTGTCATGAAGAAGAAGAAAAAATAATGGGTATGATTTATCTAATTTTTATAGATAGTTTAGATAGTTCCTGAAGAGGCACATCGGAAGGAATACAACAGAAAGAGACACATGAGTTGAAGCAGGCATAAAGGTAAAAACAAAATAGAGGTAAAAACCTAAAAGTAGAAACATAAAAGTAAATTTCAAGGTGCTATATATATATATATATATATATATACTAGTTTCTGGACACGTGTTTCGCACGTGTGTCCCATACAAGTAGTTCATACAAAATAAATCATATCAAAAATACATTGTAATGAATAATAGAATAAAGTGAAAAAGTACAAGCTAAAATAGATGAATAGTTAGCTTATATTCAAATGACTTCTTCGTTGAACAATATTAGATGATTAAATATTATTTTAAACTACAAAATTAAACAACTAAATTTATCTAGATAGGTAAAATGTATAATGAATTATATTTGAGCAATATTTAATGTATTGATGTATTACATGTACTCTTTCATAAGTAATGTTCTTGATGTGTATTCCACTTGTTGTTTTGATTACCGATTTCACCGGTTAGAGTAGTTTCATTCATCCACTTTAATTATATAATTAGGAAAACATTAATAAACATATATCACCAAAATATTATATATAAATACCTATTCTTTTTCATTTATCAAAAAAAAATTTACCAACTTCAGCAAATTTAAGGTATCAAAAATTAAAGTTTCAAACAACTTCAAGCTAAGCAAAGACTCAAAGCTAATGGTAAAGGACCAAAAGTCAATCTCTAACACTTCTATGTCAATACATCAGATTAATTTTAACTCATAAACATGAATATAAGAAACATTGATAATTTATAAAACTTAAAACTCATAAAATATTATATAAACAAGAATAATATATTTTTACGAACACGTTCACAGAAAATAACAAAGCTGAAAATGAACTTACTCTTGAAAATCTTTCCTCTAATGCTTCCCCTAATGGAGAGAGTTGTACATATTCTTGGTTTATGAATTCATCTATATAAGTTGATCATTGAGCATAATTTAATGGAATAGATAAGATCATTCATCATCAATTAAGTTAGGTAACTAAAGAAAATCAAAAGTTTTATTGTTGGAGACAAAAAGACTTGAACTATGATACAATGTTCTTTCCAACTTCCAAAAAATAGCTACGTTCAACCATTGTTAAGCGATTCATACATTGCAAGTACAAAAAAACTAAGAAAAGAATGAACAAAAATTACACAAGAAAATGTTTTGTTGAGAAAACATTGTATTCTAAATTACTACATATTAAGATACTACGCTATAATAAGTATTTGATAGATGAACAAATATAACATGTAGAAGCTTCAATCAAACTAATAAATGTTAGAATGTGAAAAGGTTGTATTCTAATTAATATTGAGGAAATTTGCTACTATAATAATTACTGGCAGATGAACCATCTATTGCTTATCCGGTTCAATGCATATGATTATTAATAAGTTTTATATTTCAGAATTATAGTTACTGGACTTTTAATGTTATCTTTATATAGTTAAAATATTATTATTTATTAAGATATTTGATTAAATTTATATTTAGTGTAGGGATAAAATGGTAATTCAACTTTTCATTTTGGAGGTTCCCACTTATAATAATATATGATATATATGAGTATTCTAGGCCAGCCTATGTAGCAAGCACCCTTAGAATTCAGAAAGTATTTAGACGGACTAAACAGAGTCCCATATAGTCATAACAATCTGGAGGTACTAATATGCACAAAAATATCATACATGGACACTCAAACAATTAGGGGTAAATTTGATCCAATAAATGGCACGAGATCATTTTTCAATCAAATTGGTGAAAGAAAGGACAAATCTGATGTAGTAACCCCTACTTAAAAGAACATTTTAACCCTTTTTGGTATTTTATATTATGAATCAGCAAGAGGGTATGGTTATTATTTTATAGACATAGTAAAAAGCATTTCTAGTGCCATAACGTTGAATCATAAAAAAGCATGTACTTGTAATCCTTGCATTAATAAGAAACCAAACGCAAAACTATTTTAAATGTTCTTGTTTACGGAATAGAACATTTATTACAGTTGACACCTTTATGTACAATCTCCATAAAAACATCTCCAAAGCTTTGATTCGTGATACTAAAAGTTACTGAACCAAGCTATTCAATTATTATTTTGTATCAGTCCAGTATTCAAGGTTTTGACTGAGGGGGTCGACGAAGTCCAGGAATCTGCAAACAAAGTTACCATCATAATGCATTTTCACTAAAGTTGTAAGAACATGTGTGCTTACAAGTAACATTGCAAAAATATGTTTTATTCTAAAAAGTAACCAAGATATCGAAGAACAAAAGTGTTTGTATTTCGACTAAGGATGGCCTGGTGATAGACCCTCTGCCTCTAAAAAGAATGTCTGTTTTGAGTCATGAAGTGATACATAGGGTCCAGTAGGGATGACAATGGGGTGGGTCGGGGAGGTTTTTGGGCTATGCGGAGGGGATGCAGGTATAAGGTTATGCGGGGCGGGTTACGGGTCTATACATATTTAAACAAAACAAAAGCTTAAAAAATTATGACTCTAATTTTATGTAATGATATCATCTTCCAAATAATATATTCATCAAAACAATACAATACAATATAGGAGTAATAAAATATTATACGTACATTATGAAACAATATATAACCATCCAAAAAAAAGTGTTACTTGCACAACACGTGGCGAGCTTATTACCTGGCAATGGCCTCCCTGTTTCTTCTTTCTATTGTTGTGGAGTTGATGTTTAGTATTTATTTTTCCTTTTTAACCCATACAATTTCCTTATATATAAAATCATAATGATTGGAACATGGTGGATGTACCTGATGAGGCTATATATCGGTGGTTATAATAAGATTTGTTGGTTGAGTTGGACTGGATGGTGGTGTGAGCCATTTATATGGACTAGACGGTGGCGAAGCCATTATGTGGGTGGGTTCATGCAGGGTGGGGTGGAGCGGGGCAGGGAAAAATTAAAAGAAAAAAATTGTTAGGCAGGGCGGGGCAGATATTAGTGTTTGCAGGTTAATGTGGGTTTGCCCCGCCCCATTTGCCATCCCAGGGTCCAGAGTCTACCGTACCCGAAAAAGATTAAATAAGAAAAAAAAAAAAATTGGATGTTAAAATATCATGTTAGACACTTCAAAGTAGTCCAATAGCAAGTTCCGCAAACTAACCTCAATTCCATGTGGGCCTATTCGGTTATGGGAAATGAAATTGAGTACCAAAGTGACAAATTCATCAGGCACATCTTCCTGCAATGTTCAAAGGACAAACAAATATTCAAATGTACAATCCAAATTTAAACCAATTGGCATCTTAAGAAAATTAAAATGGACCTGTATAGCATGGCCTGTGTGTCTGACGACCACCATTTGGAACTTCCCTTGCATTTGACCTATTGTGAGTGTTCTGTGACAATAAAGAGAAACTATTGACAAATTGGTCTCATGTTTTATCAAAACACAAGCTAGAGCGATGTAGTTCATGCTTCTAGCATATTTTTTTTTGATAACTGATAACATAGTTCATGCTTCTAGCCTTAAACATCCCCAAATGTTATGAAATAAGCTTTTAGAATCTTTCACCGGAAAAAAATAATCTTGACCTCTATCAGGATAGAGATTCTACTTCATAGCTTCTCTTAAGACATTGGGTTGTAAAGTACATTATATCTGGAAAAGGCATCTTGAACGAGTCCTCTGAACAAAACAAGCATCATGGAGAACACAAATATAAACAAACTCAACTGTAACAAATCCAATGGTATATCGAAGCTCTACAATGAAGACATTATTTTTGTGAGAGAGAAAGTAAGGTAGATATAATGAAGGGTATTTCCACAAGAAAACTGTTACCCAATAAAAATCATAGTGACATCTATTTACTTGGAAACTAGGTCGTTCCCACGTACATGTTCTGAAAATTGATTGTTTTTGTTGGATATAGTTGGAGAACCCTATATAAAAGGGTTAGAGTGTTGAGCATAAACACACTTATTTCTCTAATATCTTTGTATATCTGTTTCAGTTCCATTAGAGGTAGTAAAAGAAGGCACTAAAGGATAATACACTTCTCTGAAACCAAATGACATCACTATTGTTTTTACAAGACTATTCTTAGTTCATAGACATATAATGACAATGCCAGAAAGGTTAGTCATTTATGTAATTGATAGAATAAATGGCAGTCCTCTATTGCTTCCATTGATATGTCCGCTGTTTGCTGCTCGTTTTTTCATATACTGAACAATGACAAGTCTCCAGAGATTCTAAGCAGACTTTGGCAATTCTGCTTTCTGTTTAGGATTATACACATTCCCAACCAATAGATAGTTAACTAGGATAAAATTGGCAGTCATTTAGAGATACTTTTGCAAGAGGGATGGCCATGCAATTCCTCATTACAATTGAGACTGCAAGCATTATATTGTTTAGGATAGCCACGCACATAAATTGTTTCGATTACTCATTATTAAGTTGGATCAGAAACAGGAATATAAGGAACCATCAGGTGTACTTGAACCACATATCAGAATAGGAATATACAGAAACATCTTGCATACATAACTACATAGTGGTGAAGCTTCACATGCATACTAGCATCAATATAGAATTCAGTACAACCTTTGATACAGGTAAAAGTACACAACCTGTCAAGTCTGTCTGTCCCAGCTAAAAGCAATATCTTTGGCACAGGAGATGACAAAAACTTTTCAGAAAGGCCTTCATACCTGAGACAAGAGCATTATAGTTTCAGGTTCAAACTGGCATATGCTAGAATGGAAAACAATATGCTCAACATCCTGTGCAGCACTACTAGATGTCAGAACTCTTGAAGCATGATAGAGACTCAGTTGCAAGAAAATATTTCTCGATTCTAAAACCTAGTCAATGCCATTCTAAAAGGAAGGTATCAGTTATATAAATCCAGAGGGAATTAAATAAAAACAAATTTATCTGAAGAAGAGTTTAAACTTGTGCAGCAGGTTCTGCATTCTGAGACTAGATGAGAGATTATCAGTCATTTCTTCTACATTGCATCATGTAATACGTCAAAGGAACATACACTCGGAGTAGAACCACAAGCTTGGGTACCGACAATCATAAGAGCTTAACAATTAGTCCTTTTTCATTTTAAGTGCTTTAATTTATGATAAATCATAATAGTTCTGTTTCTTAATACCTTACGGTTTGGTTTAAGGGAAAGAATTAAAAGAATCCTCACCTCTACTAATGTAGAAAATTAAACAATTAAGTTCTAGAGATCCAAAAAATACGTTATACGAAAGCATTTTTTATAGCTCCATGGGCAAGGATGAAGCTAGAGCTGTCAATATAGGCTAGCCCACCCCATCCGGACTAACCCATACAGGCTTTAAAATTTGACGGGTCAGACCAGGCTAGCCCATTTTTTGTGTGGGCCAGAAAATGGTCGGCAGGCGCATACGCGGGCTACGGGCTTTGTCGGGCCAGCCTTTTTTCCTTAAAAGTATATTTTTTGAATTTTTTTAAATTAAATTATAATTTAAAATATTATCATAAATATCGACAAGACAATATTACATGGTGTTAATGTTACTACTTGTTAATCAAATCCACAAATAAAATTATCTTTATAATATTTATTAAGTTTGATTTCAAGTAAAAACATAAATAGCTAAATAGAAATATTAGCCGCCTAATTGTTCATTCTCAAAAAAAGAAATATTAGCCTAATTGTTTTCCAATGATCATAATAAAACACAAACTATGACAATATTCCATAGGCTACGGCCTATGTAGTGATTCCTTAGAAATTTTAGTGATTTTTTATTTTATGTAGTACATATTTATTTTTTTGAGAAAGGTAACATTACTTCTATATATCCACAAGTGTACTACATCAAAGTGTAGTCCCCCTCCAAAAAGTTTTACTTACATCATTCCTAGGATCTTGTAGTTACAACCAATCAATAATATTAAACACATTTTCAGTATCTCCTATCACTACTTGCTTACACCAAAAATAATAAAGCCCTAGGCAATTAGTCTTTATCTTCTAGATATTGTTTTGTTTTCCTTCAAAGCATCTTTGATTCCTTTCCTTCCAAATTGTCCACCAAATGCAAGCTGGGACAATCCTCCATCTCTTCTCATTTTTTCCTGCATTTCCATCCCTGTTCCAACATTGTAGGACTTCTATAATACTCCCAGGCTTTGTCCACTTAATCTTCCTCTTTTGGATAAACATCTGCCACAATTGATCAGTCCACTTGCAGTGTAAAAAGAGATGGTTGACTGTCTCCACCTGTTCTTCACATAGATAGCAACTAGAGCGTAGATTGGGTTTCCTCTTGTTTAAGTTCTCATGTGTCAAGACTGCCTGCTTTGCCAAGAGCCATGTGAAATAATTCACCTTGTAGGGAATTTCTGTTCTCCAGATCATCCTCCAGGGCCATCCTGCATGCTGCTCCTCCGTAGACCTGAGTTCTCTGTATGCTGATTTTACAATGAACTCTCCCCCTCTCTCCCCCTTCCATACTAGTCTATCTTCCTCTCCTGTCAAATTGGTAGCCATTTGCATTGTATCATGAAATCTTGCTATGGTTGTCATCTCCCAATCATTTAGTCCCCTTCTTAGAACCAGGTTCCACCCTTGTCCTGTCCATAACTCTGCCACTGTTGCTTCTTGTCCTTGGCTCAGACTATGTAGTACAGGGAAGGCATGTTTGAGTGCTTCCTGTCCACACAAAATGTCATTCCAAAAAGCTACTTTTTCTCCATTGCCCACCTTGCAGCTTGTTCTCTCTTTGACCAGCTGCCATAGGTTCCTGATAGACCTCCATACACTACAATTGTAAGGGTTGGTGACCACCTCTGTCATCCATTTATCCTCCATGCCATATTTTTCTATTATTACTTCCTTCCATAGAGATACTTCTGGTGAGACAAATTTCCACAACCATTTCATCATCAAACTCTTGTTTTGGGTTTTCAGCTTTCTGATATTGAGTCCACCCCCTCTCTTACTTACCAGCAGTTCCTCCCATTTGACCAAATGGTACTTTCTCTTATCTTCGCTTCCCTGCCATAAGAAGTTCCTCCTAATCGCATCCAACCTCTTGGTTACCTTGGCTGGTATAGGGAATAATGACATCATGTACGAGGGAAGGGCATCCAGGACACTGTTAACTAGAGTTAGTCTGCCACCTGACGATAAATATTGACACTTCCAGTTTGCAAGCTTCCTTTCACATTTCTCAATTACTCCACTCCATATTTCTTTTGACTTGCTCTTAGACCCCAAAGGCATTCCCAAGTAGGTTGTTGGTAATTCACCCACTTTCCCTCCTAGTGTATTGGCTAGGTCTTCAATATTTATCACTGTGTTGACTGGATAGATGAAACTCTTGCTCCAATTTATGTGCAGACCTGAAACAGCCTCAAAAATATTGAAGATGACCCTCAAAATCAGCATCTGCTCCCCTACTGCAAAACAAAAAACTAGAGTGTCATCTGCATATTGTAGATGAGTAATCTCTAGATTATTTCTTGTATTATTTCCCACTTGGAAACCTCTGATCCAGCCCTTTACTTTTGCTGTCTGAAATAGGTTGTTTAGTCCTTCCATGGCCAAGATAAAGAGAAAAGGGGATAAGGGGTCCCCTTGTCTCAGACCTCTGTATGACGAGAAGAAGCCACATGGGCTTCTATTGATCAGAATAGAGAATTTCACTGAGCTTATGCACTGTCTAATCCATGTTAGCCATTTTGTTCCAAATCCCATCCTTTGTAACAGATTCATCAAAAAGTTCCAATTCAAATGATCATATGCCTTCTGGATATCCAGTTTACATAGGATCCCAGGTTTCTTGTCTCTCTCTCTCTGGAATCTACACTTTCATTGGCTATCAATACTGCATCCATGATCTGCCTATTCTTGATGAAAGCCATTTGTTGTCTATCCACTAGCTTATGTATCACTTTTTTCAGTCTTTCGGCCAAAAGTTTTGCAATTATCTTGTACACTCCTCCTACTAGACTTATTGGTCTGAAGTCATTTAGTTCCACAGCCTCCGTCTTCTTGGGTATCAAGGTCACAAAAGTAGCATTTATACTCTTCTCAAATACCCCTTCCTCATGGAAGTTTTGAACTGCTGCCACCACTTCTTTTTTGATGACTTCCCAACACTGGCTAAAGAAAGTCATGGAGAAACCATCTGGGCCATGGGCCTTGTCCCCGGCACATGCTTTGATGCCTTATAGGATTTCCTGTGCTTCAAAAGAGGCCATCAGTTGGTTATTGTCATCCTCATCAATCGTAGGGCACCCTATCATTTCTAAGTCTGGTCTCCAGTCCTCAGTTTCAGCATATAACTTCTCATAGTATTCTGTGATCTCCTTTTGTATCTCAGCAGGCTCAGTCAATAGCTCGTCTCTGACTTTAATCTTATCAATAGTGTTGACTCTTCTATGTGCATTTGCTGTTTTGTGGAAGAAGCTTGTATTCCTATCCCCCTGTTTAAGCCATACTGCCCTAGATCTCTGTCTCCATGTTGTTTCCTCTTTTTTAGCCACCTCCTCAAACTCAGCAATAAGAGCCAATTTGGAAACTATCTCCTCTTCCTCCAAAATTCTCTGGTCCTGTATCATTTCAAATTCTGCTAATTGATTTAGTACAAATTGCTTCTGTTGACTCAGATTGCCTTGCCTGGTCTTGCTCCACTCTTTCAACTTAGCTTTCAAGGCCCTTAGCTTCGCTACCAGTACAAAGTCTGGTTTTCCAGGGAAGCGAAAAGACTCCCACCAGGTCTTAACTCTATCATTAAATCCATCAGTAGTCAACCACCAATTTTCGAACTTGAAATATGATTTGGTTGTCCCCCATTCTCCACATTGTAGCATTAATGGGGAGTGATCTGAGACCATTCTCTGTAAAAGACAGATTGTTTAATGTTCCTGAAATTTGAGTCCCATTCTTCAGAGATCAGAAACCTGTCTAGCCTTGCTGCTGTGAAGTGTCTGTCCCCTCTTCTCCAAGTGAACTCTCCCCCTGCTAAATCTAAGTCCATTAATTCCATGTCTTCAATGAACTCTGATAGCTCTGTCATTGCCCTGTTGATTCTGTTACAGTTGTACTTCTCAGAAGGATACCTCACAGTGTTGAAATCCCCACATAGGACCCAAGGGCCCGTGAATAGACCTCTTGCTGCCCCTAGCTCCCACCAAGTTTCTTCCCTTTCTGCTCTATCATTCGGGGAGTAGACACCAGTTAGATGTCATTTAAAATCCAGATTCTTCCTAGAGAAACAAACAGAAACTGAAAATGCACCCACACTACTCACCTCCCCATCCCATCTTCTTTTATCCCACATAATTACTATGCCTCCCCTCGTCCCACTAGCTTCGAGTTGCACGTAATCTACCCACCTACTACCCCAAATTTCCTTAACTTTATTAACAATCTCCCCCTCCATTTTTGTCTCTTGAAAACATACCACATCTGCTTTCCAAGTTCTTATCATGTTCCTGGTAATACTCCTTTTCCTCCCACAATTCAGCCTCCTCACATTCCAAGACACAGTGTTTAAATTCATTGATCCATAATGGCCAAACCCCCCCCCCCCTCTTTACTTCTAGTACCATTGCTATAGAACTTAAAATCCAGTTGCAACCTTTTTAGTTCTAATAATCCTTTCCTCTTGCCTGTTGTTTGTTTACTCTGTTCCCCCTGTTTCCTTGTTTATTGCTA